AGACTCAAGAGAGAGTTATGGCCGAAGGCAGCCTAATCTCTTTTCTTGAGCTAATAGCAAAAAGCAGATAACAAGGGAATGTAGAGGAGTTTTCATTCAGCCAGAGCCTGACAGCCAGACTTGACAGTCTGGTATCCATTACTCTGTTTCCAATGACATTCATTGTTGGCTCCCATTAAACCACAGCTATAATATTTTTTAACTCCCCAGGAGACTCCAAGGTCCTTAGTGGCAATCCCTACAATGTTTACTCAGTGTTCTAAATAGCACCCCTTAGGTGTCCAACCAGCATTCCCATATGGGCCATCAATAAATAAATACAGTATTTTCAGAGTCCTCGAGACCTAATGGTGTAACAGTTAGATGGTGGAATTCTAGAAGAAACTAAGGCAGCCTGACTTTTGACATCAATAAACCCCAACACTTAAAAATCTGTAACTGAATGCACTTAAATTATACAAACAATCAGCATTATGTATTTATCAGTTTTTTCTTAATATGACTACATCTGTCATTTTTAAAAAATAGGAATTCAGAAATTGTGGACCAAAAAGTATCTGGGACAAGTCTTAATTTAGAAGTTGATTTGGCCAACATTTAGGACATGCCCCTGACATGGCTTCAGGAGGTTCTGACAATATGTGTCCCAGGTGATCCGGCTACAGCTTGTTTTTAACATTTTAGGGAGACACAGGACATCAATCAGTACATGTAAGATGTATATTGGTTTAGTCTGGAAAGATGAGGCAACTCAAAGGGAGGTGGGGCAAGGGTGGGTTCCAAGTCATAGATAGATTCAAAGATTTTCTGATTGCCAGTTGGTTGAAAGAGTTCATCTGAAGACCTGGAATCAATAGGATGGAGTGTCTGGGTTAAGATAAGGGGCTGTGGAGAGCAAGTTTCTAGTTGTTCAGATGAAGCCTCCAGGTGGTGAGCTTCAGAGAAAATAGACTAAATATTTCCTATTAGACTTATAGAGCAGGCTGTTTTGTCAGTTTTAAAATCTCTGTTTTAATATTAGTACTGGTCAGTTGTGCCTGAATTCCAAAAGGAGGAAGGTATGATGAGTGAGGCATTTCCTTTTTTTTAACTTTTTTTTTGAGACAGAGTCTCTCTCTGTCCCCCAGGTTAGAGTGCAGTGGCACTATTTCAGTTCACTGCAACCTCTGCCTCCTGGGTTCAAGCAATTCTCACTGCCTCAGCCTTTCAAGCTTCTGGGACTACAGGTGCCCACTACCACACCTGGGGAATTTTTGTATTTTATAGTAGAGACAGGGTTTTGCCATGTTGGCCAGGCTGGTCTTGAACTCCTGACCTCAGGTGATCTGCCCACCTCAGCCTCTCAAAGTGCTGGGAATACAGGCATGAGCTTTTTTTTTTTTTTTTTTTCTCTCAGTGAATGCAAGTTTAAAGTAAAGGAATAAAGAATGGCTACTCCACAGGCAAAGCAGCTGAAGTATTTCCAACCACCCATTCCCAACATGGCCTGAACTAGCATTTCGGGTACTTTAGAATGCCCTTGGCTGAGAGGAGGGTTTCACTTATTTGGTTGGGGGTGGGTTACAATTTTATTTTTGGTTTACAAAATACTTTTTTCCCTAGAGTAATAATAGGAATGTACAGGTTATACAGAAGGATAAAGGGACAGCTTCAGTAATTTGAGGCAAGTTGAAAATTAATAATAGAATCCATAATTATTTAATAGAATTTAAGAGCAAAAAAGTGTTTCTGAAGTCATCTTGCCCAAATCCTTTCCTTTACACAGAGGGAAGCTGATTTTCTCAGGGTCACAGTGCAATAAATAGCAGAATACAGATTACATCCCAAGTACTCTGGCTCTAAATCCAGTCTTTTTCAGGATATCACAGCCCCTCCAATAGTGCAAGTAGAAAGGGCATGTTTCTGGCTTTAAGTTAGCAATGGGAGAAAAACATGTTTGTTTTTAGTATAGTGTAAATGGGGAAGAAAATGTTACCATTAGTGATACAAATTTCTTCCACTGTAATAAGGCAGTACCACTAGTGTCAAAGTAATAACTCTTCGAATAATATCATCTGGAAAAGGGTATGTAAATGAATGCTGGCTAACTAGCAGAATACACAGCAATATGGTTTTAGAGTACAATTAGTCCATACAGTTTGTCAGGATATACAACTATGCTTCACTTAGCCCTGAAGGTAAATCATCAGAAATTCTCACCTGTATTAAATTTTCTGACCCAAATCAAAGTCACCTATTTTCAGTATGTGTCAAGGGAGTGGTGGGGGTTGAAGGGTTGCAGGGAGGGTGGGATTTTGCTTTAGTTGGAGGAAATAACCCTGAGGCTAGGAAGTAACTACTTAGGATTAACAGTGTCAGAGCCTTGACTTTTCCACTTAAAGTGTCTGAGTGACTTTGGAAATGTTAACTGCTGTAATTTGTTAATGGAGGAGAATCTAAAATAAGAATACTTACTTTATAGAGTTGTGAGGTTTATATGCTATGAGATCTGCAAAGTTCTAGGCAAGGGGTGAGGTATCAATAAACAATAGACTTTGTTGTTACTTGTGATTGTCTAGACATATCAGGTTTGCATCTTTAACAGTGTCTAGGTTAATTTTTGCACCCAGATAAATACCTAACAAATGGAAGATGAAGCAGAAAAAACTATAAAACTATTTAGGACATCATAACTGTCAATGACAAAGTGACTAATGAAGTTATAATTGTATAAAATTAATTGATTCTTTATTTTCTGTTCCCTCAGGTTATATGTCACATACAGAAAAAAAAAAAAAAAAAAGATACTACTGTTGCTAGTTCAGTCTTCTCTCTGAATAAAAATTGGCTTTTAGACAATCTTAAAACAGCTCTTTAAACTTTATATTTTGAGAACACAATGAAGTAAGAAGCTTATTTTGGATGCTTGTGATAAGTTATCTATCTATATTACACCAAATATAAAATGTTTGGTTTGGAAAAGGTTGTACTTAAAAACAATGATTTTCTATGTAATTTTTTGGTGGCAGTGCATGAAAAAGGAATTGAGAAAGATTTACTGAGAAAGTTGTGTTTCTTTGGGGATTCAAATCCATTTATAAATTTTTATTACCAAGATTAAAAATAATTGAGGGCTTCGTTAGGAAAAAAATTCAGTGTTCATACTCATTTGTTAATAGGCAAAGAAAACAGCAATATCTACTACAGCCATCTATTTACTTTTATACTTGGATTTGCTATAAAAAAAAAATCACTAAGCAAAGGGAGGTAGGAATTCAGGCAGTAATAGCAGCAAATATTTATTTAAAATTTAGTATGGTCCAGACATTCTGTAAGGTGCTATATATATGAATCATATCACTTGATATAAGTGCAATTCTTATCTTCTCCATTTTATAGATTAGGAGACTGAAGTCATAAAAGCAATGCAATTTACACTGGGTCAGCTAACTAGTAAGAAGCAAAACTAGGAGTCTAGGCAGTCTTCAGTCAGAGCTCATGCTCATATTTACTATATTATATGCCTCTTATTTTAAAAAAAACAAGCAAAGCAACAAACTCAACTGAGGATAAAACAGATATATTGCTAGATACAAAAAGATGATGAGAGTTGGGTTTTTCTGTATCTCCAAGCATTTTTAGTACCAACCTTTCTATTTTCAACAGTTTGCGTGTCCTGTTGAGCCATAGACTGTAGCGTCTACACAGTCAGAATCACACTCTTCCACTAATAGATTTGCCACTACTCTTCTTTTTCTTTCTCTCCCAAAAATAATTGGTGAGTTTCTTTGCCCCAACTAATCTTAGTAGTCCTTTGTTTAACATTATATTTTACCCTGAATGTTTATACAGATTAATATTTCCATTATGAAATAAGATCTAACAATTGTGACTTTAAAAACTTCCCCATCATTAAATAAACTTTGTACTTCTCTTAATGTTGGTCTTGCTGGCATTTAGTTCTGAATATTTCTTGATATTTCTGCCTAATTCTCATATTTCTTTAATGCAAATGGAATACTTTAAAAGTACATCTTCTTCAGAGCACCTCTTTTGCCTTACCTTTCTTTGTTACCATTTTTCAGAAAGTCACAATGGCTCCAAGTGTAACCGAACAAGTTCTTTTGTCTCCATGGAAGGTTTCACTATAGGTGCCTCTAAAGTTCACTTTCCAAGTTGTTAACGTGCCTCAGTGATTTGCTTGATATCTTAATAGAGTATCTTTCTTCTTTCCTGGTAGACTTAAAATGGCTTTGATGGTGCTAATAATTTTAGTGTTTTAGTCTCGTTTGTTTTGTATGTACTTTCATCAGTTCTATTGGTAAAACCATGAAGTTTTTCATTCAAAAAATTCACTATATGGGGTTCTGAGAAAACAAAATAACACATAAAACTTAGCTTATAAACACATAAATTAGGAAGCAATATTCATACATCAAATTCTTTTTTACTTTAGAAACAGATTTTTATTTTCAGTGTTTTTTTCAAAGCCTAGACATTCTCTGTACATTCAAAATAGAAATTTCAGTTAGAACACTTTTGAAAATTCCTCACAAATATGAGTAAAGTAAAATACTTTAATTTGGGGAACAGTACTTTTTACAATGTGTGATTTCAGGTATATTAAAATGAGATATTCTTCACAGTTGTAAATACTGCATCTCCTCAGCTATATTTTCAATCTTTTCACTTTTCTACAATTCTACACTTTATGCTTTAAAGATAAGTATTTTTAAAACACACTTTTTTCTTATTTCTTTCATATTTTTAACATAGTTAAATAGATTTAAACACTTGCAAACTTTTATGAACTTTGCTGTTTTGAAACAAAGATAGCCGCCATATTGACAAAGGTTGGGAAAAAGTTGCAAGAGGGCACCTGTAATATGCTAATAATTATGTAAATGACTATAAATTATTAATTTTGTGTTAATAGCAATTGAATTACTGAATATAATGACATGTGGGATTCTGTGGAATAATGTTAAATCAAATAACCATATATTCATTATTGATTGAAGATTATTCTAGGCTGTTAGACCAATTTGAAGTAAGTAGTAAGCCAATAGTAAGTGATGACCAATGTGAGTATGAGGCAAAAGCAGGTGTGAAAGTTGTCAGGTAAAAGATTAGCCAAAAGACTGAGAAACAGTTAAAAGACATGGAAGAGTTGTGAAGGTAGCTGCCTCAGATACCAGGGAGAATATTAAGACAGTAGTGGATGGAACACCCTGAACAGGAAGCTTTTAGGAAAATTAAAGGGAGGCAGCTAAAGAGACCCAGCTGGCTTCCTGGATGTGCTGGGGTAAAGGGTTAAGTTTATTCACTTTGATTAAGTTTATGTACTTTGAAGTAAGATATGGTGGGGTGGAGGTCTTAGTGGTATCATCTACAAGCTGAATGTCCTTGGATGAATTAATCAATCAGAGTCAGTTTCCTTATTGTAAAATAAAGATTAAAAACATTACTTGCCCCATCAGGATATTGTGAGGATTAATTTAATCAGGTAGTCCATGATTACCAGGTATAGTATGTGCAATATTTACTAATTATTAATCATTGTACTTGATTTTAATATTTGGGTTTCTTACTAGGCTTCTAGAACATTCCAAAGACAGCTTTTCTTATTTCTACGTAGTACCTAAGATAATAAATGTTTTTTGAACTACTAAATTGAACACAAAGCTAATATCTTTTTTCTGTGTAAGGCATTTTGGCCTAGGAATTACTGATGACTTTTCTATTATATGATAGAAGAGTTTTATATTATAAAATAATGCAAAATGTTCATTTTTTAAGTAATATTTTTAAACAATAGGTGTTTTAAAAATGACTCACATCTTTATTTGACATTTTATTATTCTGCTGTTTTTAATTAACTATCTTAGAGTTAATATTCAAATAACACACAACTAAGGTGTTATTTGTGTTAATGTGTGTTATTTGATTACATTTTTGTACTTGTATCCATTTTAATGATTTGATTTTTTAGTAAACCAGCTAATAATAACTTAGTGTTCTTTTCATTTGCAGTTTTATATTTTGCAAGTAGAAAAACCATTTTCTTTTTTGGTTTTATTCAAACTCTGAAAATTCATACATCATTACCATTAATAGTTTCCTTTGTTAGTGTATAGACTGGGTTTTAATAAACTTGCTCTCTTGAAACTGTTACATGAGAGAAGCATGATTTTTGAAGACATTCTGTACTGACTGCTCAAGCCCCATTCAGATCCTATGTATTTAAATGCAAATAATAACAGGAAGAGGTAAAAGACCTTAAATGTACCTTTGTACATTTACACCTTCTGTTATTTATAAACTTCTTTAGAAAAGTGGCTTGGGTCAGAGCAAATGACGTTTTTTAGAAAAGTAGTTTCTAGACCAGGCGCGGTGGCTCAGGTCTGTAATCCCACACTTTGGGAGGCCGAGCAGGGTGGATTATGAGGTCAGGGGTTCAAGACCAGCCTGGCCAAGGTGGTGAAATCCCGTCTCTACTAAACACTACAAAAATTTGCCGCGTGTGGTGGTGCGTGCCTGTAATCCCAGCTACTCGGGAGGCTGAGGCAGGAGAATCGCTTGAACCCAGATGGCAGAGGTAGCAGTGAGCTAAGATCTCGCCATTGCACTCCAGCCTGAGCAACAGAGTGATACTCCATCCCCCCTACCAAAAAAAGAAAAGCAGTTTCTAAAAGGCACATAATTAAACACTTCAAGCGCCCGGAGTCCATTCATTTCTTTATTCAACAAATATGTACTTATTATGTATTCCCCCTAAAAATGAGGGAGGCCAAAATCAGTAAAATAAATAAAATAAAATAAAATAAAATAAATTTGTACAATTTTCCTGAAAGTTATTCTCTATTATACACTTTTGGAAAATTCATAACCACGTCATTTTCAGAAGCTCAAAGAAAATTATAATTTTTACTTAGATTAATAGCTACCTACCTAAGGCTTAATGTGAAAGGATAAGATTTTGTTAAAACTCAGTTTGCAGTTTTCCCATTGGATTTCAGTGATTGCACTGTATTTGATAGTTTGTTCACTAATTTGTTTTAATTAACAGACTGTGCACTTGTATAGGGCAATAATCATGACTCACCCCATGAGTGCAACAGTATTGAATTCCTGTTATGTGCTGGCATAACAGGAGTTCAATCCAATATGCTTAAATGAATGAATGAGTGGAACTGAAATCGAATTTCATACACGCAGCCACACAGGCAACTATTCTGCATTCCCCCTACTTGACCCTTGTTTACCTCTGTGAGAAATGAACGATGATGCTTGAATTTTACTTTGGTCAATAAGAACATCAAATAAATAAGCCATTAATTTAGAGTTCATTAATTTGCGGTTCAAGATGATTCAATCTTGGTTTACCTTAAATTTACCTCTGCAGCATTTAAAGGTGAATAATATATCAAACAAATTACAGTAGACTTAAAATCCTTGAATTTCTTTAATGGGCAGATGGCTAAAGCAATCATGCTTAACACTGTACAGAAATTTACAATAACCGATTGGATGCAAAGGAATGTCTTAATAAAATAAAATCCATTTAGCAAAATAAGTTTAACAAACCTCTATTTAGAAATGCTAGATATTTTATTCTATAAATAACATGTTGAGACATCTACTTAAGAGCAACTAAGGATTATGGGTAATACTACATACTACAGAATCTGCCTTCAGGATGTTTAGAATCCAGTTGAGATTCTAGTATATGAAAGAATTATAAAACAGCATAATGCAAACATATGCTTAAGAATAAAGATGAAAATACAATGTGAAAAATGGAAAAGTGAGAAAAATCACTGTACAATCACAATTTCTTGCAAAAAGTAAAAATTTAATTTCACTTTTGAAAAAAAAATCGTTGTATAATTCATTTTTCAATCAGTTATTGAAACCCCCCTTTCTCATCCTGCTCCCTCATTAGAATCAATGCATTTATTTCTGTGAGACGTCTCTCTAAAGTTTCCTTTTTTCTTAAAGTCCTCAATCTCACCTTCAGGCGAGCAAGCTAGAGGGGGCGCTCTCCTGAGTAAAGAGACTTGGCCTGCGCCATTTCCTTTCCAGAGGCAAAATTAAAGACCGCCAGGTTCCCTGGGGCAAGTGCCTTAATTGACTAGGCTCCTGCTCAGAGCTGAAGGCTTTTTTCTCCCGACTGGCATCTGGAGCCCTCCGCTCCTCAGAACAGGCCTCCAAGAGGGGCAGAAGGGGCCGAGTCTGCCGCAGGGGCTTCTGGGGCTTGTGGTCTTCGAGATCTGCTCCCTCCTCACTTCCTCCACGAGTGTAAGGCAGGGGGCGCTGGCCAGCATTTCACCCTGGCTCTGGTGCTCACCTGCGCGGCAGCACTTGGAACCCCGCCCCTGGGGATGGCGCAGAGTGCCTGCTCTAGGCTGCTCGTGCCCGCTTGAGGGCACCCTCCTCCGCTACAGGAACCAGAAGGCAGGCGGAACTGGCCCTCCACAGCCTTCCAGGGCGTCTTCCCACCGCGCAGGGCCTGGCTTTGTGCTCTGTGGACCACGCATGCCTTTCCCGTGCCTTGGGTTTGGACCTGAACTCGCAGTATTCGCAGGTGTGTATGGAGCTCCGCACACGTTTGGATGTTACTATTTACCTAATTGATTAGAGACTATATCTGCTGTGGAGCTGCTGAAGCGTCCGCCCCCACCTGTGTGGGTTTCTGTGGTATGTTCTATCGTCTGAGCCTGTTCTAGGCTGGCTTGACCCACAAAATGGTTCCTGAGCTTGGAAGAGAAGCCTGTCTTGAGGTCTTCGGTGGAGTTGTCAAATCCATTCACTGATCCGATTTTTTGTTAATCATCCCATTCTATTGGACGAAGTGGGTGAAATGCTGTAGATGTCAAAGGTGGGACAGACGTGGTCTCTTAAAGACTTCACAGGCTTCAGTTAGCAAAGGATTTATAGATGCGTAAGAAGCATTGAGGGTAAAGGGTGAATTTGCATAAGAAGTATCTGATAAAGTAGTGTGCGACTTGGGGCTTGATGGAGAAGCTTCATGGAGGAGGTGGCCCTTTAAGGAGGGATAAGAAACATATTTGAAAAGTGAAGGCAGGAGTGAGGAATACATTACACATGAGGGGGTTGGTAAGAATAAAGGCAGGAAGCCACGTGTGGACAAAACAGAATGTCTTAGTATGTCTAGATTGTTTGAAGAGGCAGGAATTAAGTCTGGAGAAGTATCTTGGACTGAAAAGCTTTGAATAGTTTTATAGTCTGGAATTGCAGACACATTTGGACTTGAATTCCATCAGGAAACATAGATAAAGCAATATGCAGTTGCTTAATATTCACAAAATGCACATAATGTAGAAAAAATATGAACAGAATATATCGTTCAGTAGCAACACTTGTGTCAAATTACACACACTGATTACTTTTGGGGGTCTTGTTTGTATTTTTGTTTTTTATTTAAAATTTAGAGATTTACACTGTATCATATGACTACAAATGACTACAAAGAGACTGAGTCACTTGACAGGGATTTGTGAGTTGCTATCCATTATTCTATTTATTTTTATATGTGAAGACTTAGTGCTTCAGAAGGGTTTTAGATCGAATGCAATAAAGAGCATGTGTAATTTGAAACATGTATGGATGACTTGCAGGACATGGCAATGGACCATAAATGACATAATTCAGATGTGAAATTTGAAAATTATCAGACAAAAATTGATAACCATGAGTATGATTTTTATTCTTGTTTTTTGAATGTCAGTCTGAATGCCAGTATTTGGAATCAGCTTTGCAAAAACAGTGTTATGTGGGCTTGTTAAAGCTTAGAAAATATTACCTTATACTATGTCTTAATGTATCTAAGGATGTTAGAGATCCATTGGATATTATGGTGAGGATCAAAGAGAATATTTTAATTCTTTCATAGGGCATGTGTACATTAAACTCTGTCATACCAAGGTGCTTGAAGCTGATGGTCAGAGTGACAATTTATTATAACAAAGCTAGCTAAATTAGGCTAGGTCACTTAGGAGCATCGTTGAGGCAACCATACATATGACTACATTGTGGAGAATAGATTGGAGGGAGTTAGAGATCAGTTAGAAGGCTGATACAATCTTAATGACAAGAGATACTAATAGTTTGAGGAAATTGTGGAAACATTTAAAAATATATGTGGATAATCACAGGAGTAGGGCTGCTGAAGTCAGAAAGAAAAGTATTTTAAGAGTAGAGGAGTGGTCATCAGGGTCAAATACGGCAGAGAAATAGAATGGGGGTTTGCAAACGGTCTTATGGTTTGGCAGTTATGATGTCATTTGCGACCTTGGTAAGAACACCTATGTCAGGTGGGGGTGATTGGATATTTTTTTTCCCCTTTTTTAAAGCTGGGAGCAACCTGAACATGATTATGTATTGAAAGGCAGATGTCCATACAGGGAATGACACTGAACAAACTGAGAGGAGAGGACTGATGGAAAAGGTACAAGGGTTTGGTATACAACTAGTGCACGTTCTTATAATATAACTTATGTTAAAGGACAGGAAGAAAGACATTGGCCACTATTTTTGAGGAGATTATCATGGAGTAATCAGAGCTTCCTTATGTGCCAGCAGAGTGCCTAGAATCCAGGTGGCTTATCTATCCATTCACATTAAGTTATTTGGCTAAGATTTTCAGAGCTCATCATATGCTAGCCACAAAGATTTCTGGTCTGAATAGACAGGAAATGGTCTCAGTGGAGCTCACTTACCACTAAGGGGCATGGACATCAAACAACTGACTGCATATGGATTATCCAGCTACAGTTGTAATAACTGACCGAAACAAAGAGTATGGAATGTTAATTCCATTACCTGTAATCAGAAGGAACTGACAAGGCCTGAGGATATTGAAGAAAGAATTTTCAAGAATAGCATGTTTAAGCTGGTGCCTAAAAGAGATTTCTCCTGTTACCAAGTCAGTCCTCCCACCCCTATTGAGGCCTTCTCTTGCCCTATTGTCATCTCATTTCTGGTTCTCTATTTACTGGTGAGGTAATTCTCCACTCTTTAGCACTTGAAATGTATTTTGCCAGTAGGGTGATAATGTGGGAAAACTTTCAAAAACAAAGGCTTTGCAAGGATCTTTCTCAAGCCAGTTATTTCTGCATTATGGTGGCTAAATATGAACTAAATGGCCATTTAATTTTATTCATGCTACATTGATTCCAATTAGGGAAAGAAAAGGGTTTTGGGAATGGCAAATCGATGGTCAGCCACAGCCACCACTGACGTAGTCTCTTAACATTCTTTGGAAGAACCACATCCTTTGGAAGTGAGCACAGGGCCTGTCATTTCTTATTAGGAATTTTTGGTAACAGCCAATGAAGGTTAGTCTTCTTTTTCTTTCATTTACAATTTTAATGCTCTCTAGGTCAAGTGATTGGGGAATAAGCATCCACTCACATCCCTTCAGGGAAATGAAGTTACTATTGCTGCTATGATTCTGCATTTATATAGCACTTGAATGTTGGCTAAGTGCTTTTACAATCAATTTTATTGTTCGATTTAAAAGATAGCCTCAAATCACCCTTGTCAAGATTATTTGGATTCAGAGAAAAGGATCTTTTCTGAAAAATGGGCATTCTATGATGTGGAAGAACTCTGATCTATCAAAAGATTAGGTATAAGACAATGTTAACATTATCTGAAGAGAGCAAGCTGTTAATAGAAGATACTAGCCACATAATGCTTTTTTGTTACCTGCCTTTACAAGGGAAGAAAGTGAAAATAAACCTTCTAATGCCAGAAATACATCCCTGTAGGAAGTCAACCCCCCATTATATAGTTTGTAACTAAGGAATTCAGGGATGTTTTATGAGTGACAGTATGTATCTTTTAATATACATCCTTAAAGCATTAGGTTTTATTTAGAGTAAGACTTGGCAAACTATTTCTATACAGCGCAAGAAAAAAATGAATATCTATTTAATAGAGTAAATGTTTCAGGCTTTGCAGGCTATAACTGTTTCTGTTGCAACTACTAACCTGCAAAGCTGTAGTGTGAAAGGAATGATACATGAATGAATGGGGAGGTCTGTTTCAATAAAATGTGATTTATAGAAGCAGGCCACCCAGATTTAGCCTGTGGGCCATAGTTTTCCAATCTCCGATTTACAGCATCTCTGAGATTCCTTACTGAACAGGGAGTGTTATAGATTGGACTGATTGATAGCTAAAAGCTCTATGAAGGCAGAGATAGACTTGTTTTGTTGACTGTTGTAGCCATGTGTCTAGCACAGTGCCTGACAGATTGGGGATAATTAAGTGTACCTGTTGAATGAAAGAGTAAGGAACAGGATATTTGATGGAAAATTACCTAACGGAGGCTAAATGGTTCTGTATTCAGATTTTTAGGTTCTATGGCATGTACTCTATGGTACTGCCATTTTGGGTAAAGCAAATTCAGTAGCCTTTCCTTATCTGTGGGTTCTTTATCCATAAATTCAAACCAACCACAGATTGAATATGTTAAAAGAATTGAAAACCATAATACAACACTAAATATAAGTGAAAAATATAGTACCACTACTATTTATTTTTTGTGTTCCTTATTCCGCTTGCATTTTGGATATACAACAAAATATATTGAAATGTAATATTTTTACATTGATAATCAAATTGAATTTAAATACATCTGGCAGATAGAATATTGTATACACAACTTCTATGCACTGTCCTTGTCCTTTACATTGGAATTTTATAGAATGAATCAAATTCACATTTTAATCCTCTGTTCTTCAGACAGTAAGTTTTTGAATATCTTACCATCTCTATCTGTTTAAAACAGAGTGGCTAGAAGAAAAGCTGTTTTTCATTTTCTATGTGTTGTCTGATGAAATTTAGTTAAGCGTGAGCCCTCCGATGAGTATGGGAAGGACCAACATTTCCTCTTCCCTTATTTGCTAATTCAAGGGAGAATATGATCTTAACCCTTTTTATACTTTCCCCTCTGCTATTTAAAAATATTAACAGTTGTCTTGGATGAAGGCTTTTTTTCTTTCTGTCATTAGATTTACTTATATTTTAAGGCTTTCTATCAAGGAGGTAAAATAGTTTACAAATTGAAGATCTTAAGAGGGGTGTCTACTATCCCATTTTTTTTTAGGTTTTTCTTGAAATATCAAAAGTACATTAATCATTCTTTTATCATTATTGGGGATACTAAAGTAATTTGCTAAAACTTTTATGTAGGTTTCAGATTTAAACGACAGACATCAGTAGGCTCAGATGTATCTTGAAATGTCAGTGAAATGTCCAGATAAAAAAATCCCAGGATCTTGTTCTGGGATTTTTTTATCTGGACATTTCATTCTGTTGTTAGGTCCATTATTATACTTCTTACATTTTGGAAATATAGCAAAATATATTAAAATACAATATTTTCAGTTGATAAATTGTCTTTAAGGAAATGTTCTAAAGTACGTTCTTAAATGTACCCTTCATTTAAGTCAATTTTTATAATGAAAGTCCAATTTATTTTTTAACAGGCTTTCAAAATATCTGTCAGCTCTTTAATTCTTCCTTCTGATTTATTCAGTGAGCTCATTCTTCATT